TATCGTCGTCTCATTCGCAGCTCCTCGAGTTGGCAACTCGAAGTTCAAAGAGGCCTGCAAGGGCCTGAAGAACCTACACGAGTGTGTGTATATGACGAATGTCTCTGTGCGCACACCCGCGCATGGACGTTTGGACTTGGAGTGTGTGTATATGATGAATGTCTGTGTGCGCACACCTGCGCATGCACCTGTCGACGTTTGGACTTGGAGTGTGTGTATATGACAAATGTCTCTGTGCCCACACCCGCGCATGCACATGTCGACTTGGACTATGTGCACATACTGAATGTCTCTGTGCGCACACCCGCGCATGGACGTTTGGACTTGGAGTGTATGTATATGACGATGTCTTTGTGCGCACACCCGCGCATGCACGTGTGGACTTGGAGCGTGTGTATATGATGAATGTCTCTATGCGCAGACCTGCGCATGCACGTTTGGACTTGGAGTGTGTGTAGCGCATGGCTAGCCACTGGAACACGTTGTGCTTCATCAGCTCGACAGACAGGAGCTGGCTCCAATGGTTGATGACACTCTCACGAAAAACTCCGTCCTCAGCGGCGGGGATCGCGACCGGGCGGGGCTCTCCGATGCTGTTCTTCTTGCGGTTCCGCTTGGACAAGCCAAGACGTTGTCGTCAGCAGATCTCCTCATCAATGAGACCCCAGAGAAGCCTCATCGAAGGTAGCTCTTCCCGGGCGAGGTACAGCAAAAACGTCAGGCCCTGTTGCATTCATGCGTGTACACAGTAAGCGAGTACAGATTCCGCTTGGCTTGTTCACATCAAACCGCCGCCGCTTCCGCTTGGCGAGCATCTCGAGAAAATCCATCGTCTTCTCCCCTCATCTCCCGAATGCCTCCGCAGGTCTAACTCTCTCTGCGGGCTTGATGCCTTCCTTCGACACGACAGACACAATCCAGCAAGCACGCCACTCGCACCTAAGGCCGACTGTCTCCCTTTGTTTTTGTATTGCTTTCACGGAAGCATGGGCGACCAGAACATCTGATCAGAGTCAGCGATGTAGATGCACACACGGCAAGACGACGGCAAGACAAGCAAACCACACGAGATCACTCCATACACATCAGGCACCAGCGGCTTCAAACACCCTCAAACACACGACAGCCAAACCCACACCACACCATCGATCACCCACATCACATCCACACACCCAAACATGCCCCTCACGGCCGGTCCTGGCAGACAAAAGTGCGGGTTTGTGCCCTGTAGGGCCCTCGACAAATGAGGTCCTCAGGAAACAGGCCCGCCCGTTGCTGTGCTCGAGCATCTGCCACACGATGCGCACGACAGGACACTTGAAAAGCATTCCACCTCATCAGCGCCACCGACAAACACTGCCCCCAATGATTCATGACGCCCTCATGGAGAAACGCGCGATCTTCTGCAGAGCTGGCGGGCGGTGCGACGCGGCGTCGCGCCAGGCGGCGAAGCAGGGTGAGAGTCCCCTCGCCCCAACGGCCGAACGTCTCCGCCGCGAGGGGGATGAACGTGTAGCCCTGCCGCCGACAATTGGCCCCATACTTACGGTCCTTCTCCCTCTCCCCCGAGGCCGCCGCGGCACCTCCTGGCCGACGGCTGTTGGTGCGGTTGACGGAGCGGTGGTGGGCGATGGAGTTGTCGGGCCGGCATGGATGGCGCACGGTGACGTCGGCGAGGATGTCCTCCCCGTCCACTGTCAAGAAGAGGTCCATGCGCTGGCTGTTGGGGTCGGAGTCGGGTGGGGTGATGCCGAGGGAGCGAAGGGTCACCTCTGTGACGGCCGGAATGCCGACTTCCGCCAGGATGGACTTGAAGACGTCCAGCAGAGTGTTGTGCTTGAAAAGCCGCTCGGCCGTCGTCTGGTGGCAGAGGAAAAAGTGGTCACCCAGTGCGTCGACAGCCGCCCTGCACGTGCATAGGGACGACAGGTTGGCGAGGGGGAAGGGGAGGCCGAGGGTGAGGGCAGTGGCCATGCGGTAGTGGAAGTTGTTCAGGCACTTGCGCTTGTCACCTCGAGTATATCCGGGGATAGCCGATAGCCAGCCGGACGACAGAGGCCCCAAGCAGGAAAGAAGGCGGCATCGATCGCGGCTGCCGACGGGGAAGCCCTCGAACAGGGTGTCAAAATCCTTCTTCGCGAGGGCCTCGGAAATCTTCTGCTGCAGCCGAGCCTGCGGGCGTGCGACGAGCTGCTCGAGAGGGGGGATGGCGACAGAGGGGAGGGATGCGGAGAAACCGATGCGGGCGGATGCTGCCGAGACGAGCCATTCCAGCTGGAAAAGAGAGGCTTCTGACTCGGGCATCCAGGGGTGCCCACGGAATCGATCCCACACATCCCCCACAGTGACGGCCACGGACCCAAGATAAGCAGCCGGTGCCACACGCGCAGACGACACCAGTCCAAGGCCGCCCAATCGGACAGGTAGCTGCACTTGCCGGCTTGCCGACGTAGAGAGGGCGCCCGTGCGCTGAATGCGCGTGAAGGCCGCAAGCTTGGCTGCATCATGCGCACGGGCGGCCGCCAGGAGAGACGAGTCTGTCTCCCTCAGGCGGACTGGAGCGGCCACCCGATCCTTGAGGAGACAGGCGTGGTGAGCAAGCAATGAAGGTCAGCTATTCTTCATACTCATTTCTCTTGGCCCAGTCAGAGCCTGATCTACACGATGCTGTGACTGTGTCGCGATCGCTCGTGTGTGGACGAAAGGGTCCCAGCGTATGGAGAAACGGACACTCTCGCACCTTGACCACCAAAAGACTCAAACGTGTGTGTTCGGTTTGCGTGCCTGGACATAAGACTCGGCCAGTGGCCAGCTACGATGGCGTGAAACCCTCCCAAAGTTCATTGCATGTGGGCGGGGTGCATGATCAATCTGTGTTGCATGCGGTGTTGTGTTGCGGGCGGGGGGGTGGGCAAGTGGTGTGCCCGTCTATTTTTGTATGTAGGCGCTTGGCTAGCAGCACGCGGGGGGAGGGGAAAAGGCAGGGGCAGGGGGCGGACGACAGGCAGACCCACTCGTAGACAGGCGGTGCCCACTAGGGGCGGGCCAGCAGGCGCACCGCGCTCATCTGGCACGGGACGCGGCCGCTCCAGCCGCCGGCCCCACCCATCCATGCATGGATGCGTTGCGTCGATCGCCATGACGCCGGCCGGCACTTCACCGCCGGCCTTCACGTTTCTGTGTTTGAATATTCAGGATCTGGCTGCGAAGTTCCGTGCGTATGGTGATTTGTTAGATGACTTGTGTATGTGGGATGGTTGCAAACGCATCCGGTATGACTCTCTCGCCTTTATTGAGACGAAGCAAGCCGAGGCCGACCCGCCTGTAGCTCTCACTGGCTATACTTGCTGGTCTTCGCCGCTTGCCCTCTTACACGACAGATCGAAAAACAAGCAAGTGAAGTCGGGGGGGATCGCTTGGTACACGAGTATGCGTGTCTCTCACCTGCTCACACGTAGAGATGCGCCACTTTCTAATGTCGTCATACTAAAGGCAGACCAGCAATTGTTCGGTCTGGACCGCCCTGTGTTTCTGCTTGCCTGCTACGTGCCTCCTTTCATGCGCCCTGATGACGACGGCCAGGGCGGTGAGTGGTGGAGCGCCTTTACTCTGTTGTGTGAGCAATTGGCTGAGGAGGGCTATGTGCTTTTGTGTGGTGACTTTAACGCCAAGACGGCGACTGATCCTGACACTTTGCCGCCGTCGGATTATGCAGATATTGGCATTGACTCCAGGCACTGCATCCTCTTCTCCTCACTCCACCGCCGCGTGTTAGTGATTGCTCTCATCCACGCAACTCGATTGGCGCCTGGCTGCTTGCTCTGTGCAAGGCATCATGCCTCCTGCTTTTTAATGGTCGTCAGATAGGCTCCTGTCCTGCTGTGAGGACGGCTCAGCCTACGTGTACTCAAGGGAGGAAGCATAGCGTCATTGACTATGTGGCTGCCTCGCCACAAATTTTCCTTCGTACCAGTCATTTTTCGGTAGACGATCATGCATTCCGTACACCGCACCGATGCCTCTCATGGGCTATCATGCCTGTTGTGACGCCTCCCTCTTTGACTAGCCTTCGTAGCCGTGTACAGGCAGCCTCGTCGATGCAGGGCAGGGTGAGGTATGTGTGGAGTGCGCAGGCTGTCGGCGCTATTCGTGCATCATTGGCAGCTGACCCTGCTCACCTTCGTCTTCGCTCTGCGCATTTTGATGCATGCCAGCGAGGTGATGCTACTCGGGCGGCAGCCTGCGCGCAAGCACTGCGTTGACTCACTGACTCGTCTCTTGCATCGGCACGGTCGTCTTATAGACTGCAAGGCAAGGGCTGCACGCACCCTGCTCAGCCAGCTAGAAGGCAAGGGCCGCCATTTTGGGGTGTCTAAATGTCCTCGCAGCCCTGAGGTCAATCGTGCAATCTCGCGCGCATCTCATGCATATCGTGCTTATATCTGTGCGCTGCGATATGGGTCAGTACATGATGTCGCTCGCACACTCGATGAGTCCTTACGTGCCCGCCGCTATCGTGATCGTGTCTGTCGTAGCCACAAGTCAGCTCGTGCCAGTGCGTTGTTGCGAGAAGTGGCCTTTTCGCGTCGCCACTGCCCTCGTGATTTCTGGCGCTTGCTCTCTCCCCCTGGCACATCATGTCAGTTGCCTGTTGACTGCCCCTCAGCTGATGTGTTTGCTGGTGCGTTTGCCGCGCTTTTTCAAGGCCTCAATGTACCATACTTTAATGCCATGTCTCCCGCACTGGCTGAGCTGCTGAATGAGGCGGTGCGCGGTCCGCCTTTGATAGTCAACTGGCACGCACATCAACCCTTCTCTCTGACCCATCTGCATGGTGCCCTTAGTCGCTGCTCTAACACGAGTGCACCAGGCATGGATGGTATTACCTACTCTGTTGTCCGTCGTGTGGGTGACCCCTTGCTGCATGATCTCGCTGCTGTATTCTCTACCTTTTTTCGGGCGTCTCACTGGGGGTATTCATTTGACCGCATTCTCATTCATCCCATCCACAAGAAAGGCCCCTTGGATGACCCTGGCAATTATAGAGGAATTCACTTGCTGCCGGTGTTTTGCAAACTGTTTGGCCACTTGCTTCAGTCAGAACTACTGCGTCAGTCAGCAGTGTGTCCCGAGCAGGCGGGCTTTCGCACGAATCACTCCACGATTGGTCAGTGTTTTGTCCTGGCATCCCTCATTGTGCGAGCCAGGCGAGCTGGCTCCCCTTTGTATGTCTGTTTTGTCGATTTCCGCAAGGCCTTTGACGCGATCAACCGTAGACTGCTGTGGTGTAAGTTGCGCGCCAGTGGCATCAGCGAGCACCTCGTTCGAGCTCTCGAGGCTCTGTATGCTGACGTGGAGGCTTGTGTGGATGGCGGGTATGAGGGTTTCTCTGCCGTCTTCAATGAGATGCATGGTGTCAAGCAAGGCGACGTGCTGGGCCCATTGCTGTTTTCCCTCTTTGTTAATGATTTGCCTGGCTTCATTCGCGATGGGCATGCATCTCCACCTGACATTCTCCGCTTGCTCGATGTGCTCGTCTTCTGCCTGCTGTATGCTGACGACCTCGCCATTATGGATACTGCTGCTGCTGGGCTTCAACTCAGCCTGGATCGTTTGTTTCAGTGGTGTCGCCTCAATCACTTGGATGTGCACCTAGACAAGACCAAAATTGTTGTGTTTCATCCTGATGGGGTGCCATCGAGCGAGGCAGGCAGACAGTTTTACTTTGGGGCACCAGATAGGCCGCTAGAACGGGTGCCGTTGGTTCGCTATCTGGGTGTATGGTTTCATGAAGGGGGAGGGTGGAAGCATAACATAGACATGATGGTCAAAAAAGGGGTGGCTGCATTGGCGGTGTATCGGCGTCGCCTAAGGCAGCTTCCTGCGCTTGACCTGCCCACCCGCTTTCACTTGTATGATGCCACAGTAGCTTCTGTATATCTGTATGGTAGCGAGCTGTGGGCGGGCACTAACTGTGATGCCATGGAGCGTCTCCATCGGCACTTCTTACTGTCGTGTATGCGTGTCACTCGTCGTGTCTCTACCGAGGCCTTGCTGTGTGAGCTTGGTCGTTTTTCCGTGCTCTTCGAGGCACGTTGTCGCCAGCTGTCCTTCTATGTCCGCCTGCGCAATCGCCGGGCCGGCGTTCTTGCAGAGAAGGCTTTTGCTGTTGCACAGCATGCGTATCGGTCTGCTCCGTCATTCCGGCGCATGCAGGGCAACGACGCTTCCTTCTATTCACAGAAGCACAACACATTCACTCTGTTTGCACGCACATTCGATTTCATGAACCAGCGTGTTCGTATCAGTCAGATCGGCCCGCTGAATGATGTCGACATCAAACACATGATCACTGCGCACACAAAGGCAGAGTTTACTCGTATTTTGACTGAGCGATGGAATCGTGCTCGCTTGCCTGATATATGTAACACTCCCTCCCGTCCTCCGCCCCTCTCTCTCTCCGCCGAGGCGCCATCCTTACTGCCTTGGCGCACACATGCGTGTCGTCAGACAGCTGTGTCTCGTAGGGCTTTATTTCAGGCACGCAAGGAGCTGTTGTGCCGTCCTCTCTGTTCAATCATTCCTTTCCTATAGCATTTCCTCGTCTGCATCGTTCCTTTCCATCTCCCTCACGTGACTGCCTGTGTGACATGGATTCGATTGTGTGTATGGCGCCCTATGTCCCTCCTGCTGCATACATGCATGTGCTCCAACAGGGGCAAGATTGGCTGCATCGCCTTATTCAACCATTGCCCTGCTTTCCTTCTTATCTATCGCTGCCATTTCGTCAGCGTCGCGTCCTGTTTCTTTTTCGTAAGGGCTGCTATCCTTCTGCCATCATGGATGGACGCATCCTCGGCCGGCCGAGAGAGGGCAGTGTCTGCCCGTTTTGTTCGCATCGGACTGACTTGCTCGTCTCTGCCGTGAGCCTCACAGGGCAATCTATCACCCGCCCGCCCATTGAGGATGAGTCTCATGTGTTTGCATGCTGTCCACTGTATCGTTCCTTTCGTGAGACACTACACAGAATCATCGGCCAGCATGGCGTGACTGCCCCTGATGCCTGTAGCTATCGTCGGTGGCGCAGGTCGCATCCCATCGTTTTCACCTATTGTGTGCTTCAATCGGACAAACTGCCGGTGCTCTCTGCAGCGGCAGACTTTCTTCTTTCAGCACAGGCAGCACGCACTGAGTGGCTCGCTCTAAATCCCTTCTTACCAGACAGCCAGGCACCGGCCGAAGATGAACTGCTATATGAACAGTGTGTCCTCGATCAATGGGCGCTCGACATTGAGCTCTCTGAGTAGCATTATCTGACTGTCCGGTGTGTGTGATTTTTCTGACCGTCATAGGGTGGCCCGTGTGTGTATGGTGGTGTCATCATGTGTATGGTTGCTTGTTGCTTTGAGGGCTCAGAGGGCACTCATTTTTCACTTCCTCCGTTTGGCTACTATACACTTGCCAGGGCGGCTTGCTCTCGGGCGATATCGCCCGCTCTTGTGTATGTCGCCAGACAGTCATTGCTCTCTGTCGCCATCTGCGTGTCGGCTGGTGCGTGTGCCCTCTTTGGTGGTGGGCCATGGGGATGGGTGGGTAGACAGGCCATGTGCATGCTTCCTGCATGCGCATGCTGCTAGTTTAGTGCGTGATGACAGGATCCCCTCGGGGTTACAGACACGAGTCTCGTTAAACACAATAACCAACCAACCAAAGAGCAAAACCGCAAACTTGGGGTCCAGCCACCAGACGAAGAACAACGCAGGCGCCAAACATTCTTCCCTTCGAGCAGGTATGATGACGAACAAGCTAGATCTATGACTCACACACAGAAGAGATAGAAGCTCGATGAACCCGCGTGGAAGACGCACATGCATACGAAAGAGGGTACAAGACGATACACAACGATGCTGTTTGGGCTGTGTGGAGTGTGTACAGGCTGATCATCCGACCCGCACAACGCTTGATCCTGATAAGGAAGAGAAACTGACCAAGTAAGTGCTTCTCCACTGGCATTCATCACATGTTTGGAGGCTCTTCCCGTGATCTTGTCGCCCAGGTATCGATACGCTTCACGCCCAAGTCTGTTCGTGAGAACGTCCGCTCGATTCGATCTCATTTTTGGTGTGCATCGCATCGCACAACAAGAAAGCCAGACAGCACTGACCCACGAAGACAAATGGTCAGGGGTATCTATTTTTTTGGGTGCCTCAGAGCGTAGTTTGAGGCCGTTTTCCAATCGCTGGGGAAGAGCCGCGAGAAGTCACGTCAAGATTCATTGAGGGCTGCGTTATTCTGCCGAGGAGAATGAAGTGGTGTGTGCCTTCCAGACTGCCACGCTCCCCTCAGCCTGTCTCACCTCTGCAGCTGGAGGGAATATTGGCATTCCAGAATGTACCTCAACAGGACGTGCTCAAGATGGTGGGCCTTTGCGCTTTTGGCGCCATGCTGACGATGGCCATACGGACCACCTTGTCGGCTCGGGCGCGTGCTGCTCCTCGTTCGTTCCTGCGGTCCGTCATTGTGGCTTACTCGGTAGCGACGCCCATTTTTGCACTGGTATTCGGACTCTATGGATCCAGCAAGCTGCTGCTCGTGCTCGCGGCATTGCACAATCTCTGTGAATGGGGCATCATTTGGCATCTTGTCTTGGAGACATCGGCTATCACGCCCACCTTCTACGGCTCCGTCCTATGGATCTGGACGATCGTTTCGATCGTGGCGGTGGCACCAACCTTGGAGCTAGCTGTGGCTATCGAACAGCCGTTTGGCCTCTGGTGTGACTTCTTGCTCTTCTTTCTTATGCTCAAACGCCTCTCAGAGGTTCAGGAAGGTGACGTTTATCTTCGGCGTCTCTTCTTGATGGGTCTGGTCGCATCTATCGTTCACTTTGGCCAGATATTCACACTTATTCTGGGAGGTCTGGGAGTGCCCGGTACGACACTGTGGCTACTGCTTCTTGTCTTTTCGCCGCTTGTCACATTCGGCTTGTACTCGGAGTTCGCACTAAGATGGGATGAGGCCCCCGTGCCACCATATCGACAACACCATATGAACGTATTCGAGGCCTTCTTCATCTTCATTCTCTCTCTCGTCCTGTCGACAAGTGTCATTTTCGGCCCTCCACTTCTCTTCCGTTGCCCAGCGGTGGCCGCACAGGCCAGTTCGCAATGCAGTCAGTCGGTCTCGGGCTTTACAGTCTTCAAGGCTGCCTCTCCTAATGTGCGCAATGCACTCGGCGACTTCCTTCGTGAAGTGGCGCACTCGACGTTGGCGGAGCCTGGCAATGAGATCTACGAGGTGTTCGAAGTTGAGCGTGGCAAAGGAGGGTCAGATGAGTGGGACTTTGCTGTGGTTGAGCGCTACTGGTCACTTGAGGCTCTGCAGACTCATCTTAAGCGGGTGGAGCCCCTGTTCAATCAAGAGTACTACCACGGCCTCGCTGCTGATATGGTAGAGTTTGGACCGTGGCGTCGGGCTGAGTGGTGTCAGCCCAGCTATCCTCCACAGTTGCGTCATCTAGCGTTTCGCTTCGCGATTGACAATGATGTGGACGCGATCTGGTCGGTTGTGAGGAATTGGAGGTCACTTGAGGCTCTGCAGACTCATCTTAAGCGGGTGGAGCCCCTGTTCAATCAGGAGTACTACCACGGCCTCGCTGCTGATATGATAGAGTTTGGACCGTGGCGTCGGGCTGAGTGGTGTCAGCCCAGCTATCCTCCACAGTTGCGTCATCTAGCGTTTCGCTTTACGATTGACAATGATGTGGACGCGATCTGGTCGGTTGTGAGGAATTGGAGCGACGTCACGATGGTGCTCGGTGCTGTATCTGCGGAGCTTGACGAGAACGATGAGCGCCTTCGCGTCGTCAAGTTCCGCAATGGTCTGGAGCTGGAGGAGCGCCTGAGTGTCCTCGATCATTCCCAGAAGCGTCTAGTCTATGAGCACTCGAACCAACTCGGCTTGCGGTTCTATCGTGGTAGCATCAACCTGGAGTCCAATGGTACAGGGGGCACACTGGTCTCTTACGTGATTGACATTGGGTTGGAGGGTGACGCGCAAGGTCGAAGCGATGCGATGAAAGCCTCATTCCAGGGCCAGAACATCCCTTATCTGCAAGAGCGCTTCAGCCATGCTGGCCTGTCGTCAAATGCTTTGCTGAACGAGGGTACACCTGTCATCTACGATGCATCCGTCGTCGAGAAGGTGGAGTTATGATTTTCTGTGGGATGGTGGGGTGAGCCATAATGGAAGGTGCTGTTCGATGGAGGGAGTGAGGGAAAGGAGGCCTTACACGGATGGACGGAGGTCAGCGTGCAAGAGCGCATTGGTCGAGACTTATTTACCTTGCTTTTTTTCTGCACACTTTGTCCCGCGATGGTCTTCTCTCCATTCTCTCCTCTTTTGGGCTTACCTTCGATCGCTTCTCTACTCTTTCATGGGGGTACGTATTCGTAGTTCAAGGGTTTAGCCTACCCAATGCTCACTTCA